AGACTTCTTGCCTTAAAACCTTTTGCATTCCCATAAATTTCGCATTTGAAATTCTTAAAGAACATCTCTTTTTGCCTTTTTTTGAGAGAATGACATTGTCACGTCGGTCTTTCCAAGAGTTACGAGACAGTAAACACCTTTGGAGTACGCTTGGTAGAGATAAAAATTCATTGGATAGATATGTTCGAATACTGGGCAAGCCAATAATTTTCATTATTTACAAAAGACAGTAGGAAAGCGGCTAAATTCAAGCTCTTGCCAAACTGCTTCCAGTTAGTCATGTGTTGTAGACTCAAGACCGATCGAACCTGACCATCAAGCAGTCCATATATTAGGTTGGTTAGGGAATAAGTTCGGTCGTTTTTAGCTTGCTTTTACCTACGAAGCTTTGAATTTGCATGTTTAAACGAACTTCTCAGACAATTCAACAGAACTTCCGCAAAACCAGCAAAATTTGCAGCGATTCCGCAGGATTTTGTTTATATTGGAAAGTGGAAGAAACGTTGAAAATAGGAACTTCCACAGGACATTTTACAACGGCTGCGGAACTTTCGAAAAATGCCAGAGGTTCCGCAACTCTTTGACATTTCAGTACTTCCGCAGGTTTTTGAATGTGTTATCTCGTACGATGTTGCCTCACCAACAACTGGAGTTCATTATCGTACATGTCAGCCGTAGTGCAGAGGATAGTAAGTGAGTCTCACAGTCAATAGAGTAAGGTACAAATCTCACCTAGGTTTTCTCTTTTGCTGTTGTGGTTCGCCTTCTTCGGAACTTCCGCAGCACCTCATTTGGGAACTTCCGAAGCACGTTTACGGAACTTCCGCAGGTGACCCGACGGAACTTTCCCAAGCGTTTTGCGGAAGCTCCGGTCAATTGTTTGAGTTATTTATTAGCCAACCTGAAACTTGTGAGGTTTAAAGGCAAACATTTTGAAATTTGTTCATAGTTTTACCTCCCTTCCACCCTAGCATTTCTTTCTCCATTGAAAACTAGCGGTGTAAGACGACTTCAATAACACCCTCTCCAAAAAATGATGACTTTTAGCAAAAACATGACTTTGAGTTGTATGTATGTACAAAGTGCAATGAAGACAATACTTGCAGCACAGACATCGCGGCAAAAAAATAAAACTTCATTTATATCAAATTACAAGCATCAGTTACAATTTGTAATGGATACGTTGTGATGAAGCAGAAGATGTGAACTGGAAAGAGCAAGACTTGAAACCTAAGACAACTCATGTTTTTTTCCAAGTCAACAAATCGAGATATTTTTTTTTCTCTACCCTGTCTAATTCCTTCCCATACAAGAACAGCAACCCAACTGTTGTAAGCTGAGTTGCTGTTCTTGTAAGCTGTGATAATACAAAGAACTAGTCGTAAACAAAGGGAAATTTTGCACTTCCTCGCCAAGTAGTTTGCGGTGTTTACTCCAAGAGTACGCCAGTGCTCGGCACGAGGTGGCTTACAAGCAAGCTGGATATAGTTTTTGGGACGAAAAGCAAAGGGGGTTTCGTTTTTATGACCGAAAAGACACGGAAAATTGGCGACGGCGACCTTTTTTTTTTAGTCGACGTTTCGTTTTTTGGGGGATTTTGGGGAATTTTTCAGGTTTTTAGAGGAAATTTGGTTGAGGGTCAAAGGGGACTTTGTAAAAATTCCCAAAAGTCAAGGGGGACTTCGTTTTTTCCATTTTCATCTAGCCACCTCGTGCCGAGCCCTGGAGTACGCACAAGGACGGAAAAGAAAGAAGTGCACAAATGAATGGTGAAAAACACATTTTAGAACCCAGTAGCATAATGACTGCGAAGATTCTGCTCGAGATCAATGGTTCAGGTATAAAATGGTAAAAAGAATTGAATTATGATCCCAGACGATAAACCACTCTCGGTAATAGTAAATTGACATGTGAACTGCGGCTAAAAAGCTATGAACGATTTTTTTGTTTCAAAAAGCTTTGGTTATTTTTCAAGTGCTCCATTGCCTTCTGTGGTCGTATTCATCAACGAAGCCCGTGGGTTCCGGAACCCACTGGATTAGTGCTTTTGATGAATATCGATTCTTTCTTGGAGTAGAATCGATATTCATCAAAAGCACTAACCCAGTGGGTTCCAGAACCCACGGGTTTCGTTGATGATTACGGCCACTGAGCACCCCACCGCTAGCCTCTCGCAATTTCGACCTTTGATCTTGTTACCAATTTGGCCACTTTCTTCTTTGGATGTTTGCATCACGATAGAACTGTCTAGAACCTCGATTTCCTTTGTAAGGACATTTCAACATAGAGCAAGGTTAAATTTACTTTGAATTTGTACCATGAGCTAGTTAGTTATCTCAAGCTATACTTTACCCTTGAAATACATTCGAAAATGCGCGCTAATGGCTTTCTGGTCGATTTATACCTCTACGTTCAACTTAAGGTTAAAAATACCTTGCGAATACGGGTATGCACTCTCAAGGTAGATTTCAACTTCAGGTATAGTCGAGTAGATTTTCCGCTCAATATAGTGTGCTTGCACTGAAGGTGAAATGCGGTAATGTTTGCGCGTGAACAAATAGCCACGCAAGTAATGCCAACATTTTGCGCGCGCAAATGACCGGCGTTACAGGCGCATCTATTTCTTTACGCGCAAATTTTACCGCATTTCACCTTCAGTGCAAGCACACAATATTAAGCGGAAAATCTACTCGACTGTATGTTGATGAATACAGCCACAGGATGCAATCTTATCTCACGCGGTTTATTGGGAATAATTTATTACTTTTGCTGGCACTTCTATGAAGACACACCTAGTCGACTTCGAGCCATGCGACTATTTATACGAACTTTTTTTGTGGAAGGGAAAGGAATGTGTGTTTCAAAATGCGCTTCGTACTTCAGTTCTTAAGCATCGTTTTATAGCATGTTTTTTTGGAAGACTAACGTTTGTTAGAATAACACCACTCCGAAATTTTCTATAGCCCCAAAGCTTTTTTAGCAATGTGAAAGATGACTATCAAGCAAAAGACTGTCAGGGAAAAAGAACTTCCTTATTGAGCGGTGTCTCTAACATAGACCAAAGGTCGCCTACCCCACCCGATCGAATGCCCTTGATGGTCTAGACATTTGATGACAAATTAAAGAAATCTGTATAGCTCCCTCGCATGATTTCCCTAAATCTTTTGTCATCCAAATTCTTAAGTGACGAGCTATCAATCCTGTTAGGGAAGGACATCACGTCAAATTCTGCACTTTACTGGGCGAGGCGGTGTAATGTTACAGTTGCAAATTATGCGGCAGATATACCCGTTTGGATTAGATTCACAATTAAAAAAATCACTAGCTTCTAATGCATCTTCTCGTATCGAGTTTCCAAAGTTTTGAAAAAAAAAACAATTAGACCTGCAAATTTTTGGAATTGTAAGGGATTTTTTGTGAATATGAACCCAATGTCAGTGTTTGGAAAGAAATCTTGTTAAGAATTTTATGGTGATTTGATCATAAAGCTTGATTTGACTTTTGCGACGAAAACCAATAACCAACTTCATGGGAATGCCCACACCATTGCTAAGAAGTTCATTTATGCTTTATATTTCATACTAGATCGTATTTGAAAAGAGATAAGAACCGATTTTCAATTTCTCGACGAATTGTGGCATTTCCTCAAATCTTCCAACACATCCAGTCCAAGAAGGTCGCAAAGAACCTAACTTATGTAGAAAAAGAAAAAATGGGCTATAGTAGCCCTCACCCCACTAGTCGGTCGGTGGACGAATTCAAATTTGAATTGGAGCAGGCCTGTCACGGCAGAGCGCGGCAGGAGACAACGCTCAGCAATTGCAAAAACTCAATATAGGTCAAAAACGTTGTAACAATACAAAAACTGCTAAGCAATGCCGAAGAAATACGCAAAGTGAATGCGTGAATTTGAACGGAGAGCTAAGGTGCCGTGCTCTGCCGCGACCTGCCTGCTGTCGAATTCGAATTCGTCCACCGACCGACTAGTGGGGTGAGGACGACTACACAAATGATATTAGTTCTCAACTTTTAGTTTGTGCTTTGAAACTGTAAATTTTCGGATGCATCTAATCTAAGACCATGCACACATCGTCTAAACAAGCCTGAGTTTGTCCTCGCATGGTTCCAAGTTGCAAATAATCCTATCTAGATGATGTATAACGAGCATGAACTTGTTGAGCACGTGGTAACTGTTCTGACAATGTCTACGATGCGTACTTGAGTCCTTCAAAGGCTACTGCAGGACGAAGTCGCAGAAGCAGTATTAGTTCAGAGGCGGCGAACGCGGCGCGCGCATGTCTTCACCGTTGTAAATCTTGCTCTTCAGCACTAGATAGATAAATGAATTGTAGACATCTGTAAGCACTTACCTCCTTGGACGACGGAATCCACAGACCCCACTACGCCGTAGACTTTCCGAATGCAAAAAAAAAATAGGGAAAATATAAATCTGAATAGGATATGCACCTGCAAGAGGTGTGGGCCACCGGTGGTCCGCATCGTCGTCAATGCGTTAATGCTGCTAACACGTTCAAAGATATTGCGTCTTCGTCGGGCGCACTATCGCCTCAGAATGAATGATATAAGAGATCCGAACAAAGTCGTGACTTGCGCAGTTTCGGGAACCGCTTTTCTTGGATTTCATCTGTAGTCGAGTGATTTTGCATGCATATAATAACTTTTAGAGGCCGGGGAAGACTGAGCCAAGTAATGCCATTTGTTGGAAAGTTTTATGCTCTGAACTTGTGGGCGGGCAGCCGTCGAATTCGTCGTCACGGTCTTACTACTATAGTACCTGAGATTTTGGCGGCACTTCGAGTTGCAGTGCAAATGCACCACGTTGCCCAAGATTTGACGCCAACTATATTTCTCGAGTTTTTCCTGTTCACTTCTCTTCGTTTGTTGCTTCTCCTACTTTCCTCTTTCCATTCTGAACGAAACACTGCACCCAAGGTGCGCACATTCTACTCGAGTAATGTTTGCCCTTCCCCGTGCGTTGCAGGTGCTCAGCGGGCTTTGCTCGCAGTTTTTTCGCGGTGCGTCGGGCGTGGAAGGGGCGACGCGATCGATGATCTCCGCTCCAGCGGCTCCGCCCTCAGTTCTTCGCATTTCGCGCCATGCGAAGACACGATCAAGCCGATTTCCCTGTCGTTATCGTAGGTGAGCTTTTGCTAAGTCTTTACAATTACTTGACCCTTGAGGGCCCGCATAAGATGTTGGTCCCGTCATTATTTCGTGAGGAACCTTTGTGCAGATGTGCAGACAAGAAGTTTTTTGTACAGAACTTTTTGATCTCCAGCTTTCCTAAACCATTTTTCATGACTTTCAAACATTTTCTTGCTTACGGATCTAATAATAGCAGAACTCTTTTCCTATTTGCAAACATTTGCAGCACATTTGCGTTCTGAGCTTTACATCCTACTTCGCTGTAATCTCTCTCGTATACTTGCGATCTATGCTTGCATGAGATGTTTCTTCAAAGTCGTAACATCTCGTTCATCTTTCACTGCATACTGCGGAACGTGTGACCTTGCACTGGTTTTCATGATCAGATATTGTAATTTTACAGATAGGACTGGTTCCACTTTTGCAACATGAGCGATATTCATGTGAATAGCATACTTCTTATAAAATTATGAGCAAACAGGGCAAGCTAGAACGAATATTCTATGCGTAAGAACAACTGTTGTTTGTCGAGTCTTTTGCTAGGATCTAATTTTGCACTCCTGGCTTTTTGCGCTACGTCGTAATATTTTGCAAAATTACACAGAGAAGTGCAATAGCTGGTGTTTTCGAAAATATTTGTGCCCCTAGGGAATCCGATGGAAGCATAGCGCATTTATGAAGCTATTCCAAATGTTCTGAGCGCTTTTCTTTACTACATTTTCTGTGATGGCGAACAATTACTCATTTAGCTTACAAGAATAAGAATCTGAACATTCCAAACCTTGCATCTTATAACTCATAGCTCCAATTTGTCTGAATTTGCTTGTCATCATCGTACTTTTTTTGTACAGGAAATGGTCCAGCTGGTCTGTCACTCTCGGCATTTCTTTCGGGGATTTTGCCGTTTTACAATCCTGATACACCGCATCCGGATCCGCTGGTAAACAGAAAATTGATGAAGAATCTGGATCAATCGTTACTAGAACAGGTATGTGTGCGAGGCCGGTATTTATGCTGTTTCTATGTTTACTCCACTGCTTACATACAGAATGCAATGTTTCTCCATACTAAAAATCACAGTTGAACTTTCATTGATTAACCTTCTTTTCAATAATTCTAAGTTTTTGGTGACATCGTGCATATTCTTTCGCCTCTTTTTGCTCTCCTAGCCTCTAAACGACTCAAGATCACTGGTATCCATGACGATCGTGCATTGCGAACCGGTCCAGTAATTAGTGAGATTTCCACTTTTTGTCCGCTGTGCTGCAGTGCCGCCACTCGTTTTGCTGCTGCCTGCTCCTGTTTGCTTAGCATTGGTCCCCTTCACTATTGTTCATTTTCGGACTGGAAGGTGGCTCTTTTGCCGGCGCCTTATCATGTCGTCACATAAGATCTCCCGCAATGTCTTTGTGGCGGTGCGTGCCAAGCTCCGCAACTCTCGTCAGTGCTCGCTCAATCACCGCGGTTTGAGAACTTTTTTGACCTTTGGATGAAAGATTGGAACTTCCGCCCAGTCTTTTTGTGACGTATGCAAACGCCGCATGATTTTTTTCCCTTGTTTATCTGGAGAAAAAGGGCTGCGTTTGTTTCGAAGTATACTTTGTTCTCCTCATTCTAACAGACTAAAGCTAGACTGACGGAACGAAAAATCTCTAGTGGCAAAAATACCCCTCTCCCCAGTTCTTTCCAACTCTTTTGTCATATGCAAGGGTCACTATGTTTGTCCTTTGCGCGCGCCTGTTTTGATTACGCATTCACTTCCTGTTCCATTCACCTTGATCATGAAAATTCGTAAATATTGCAAAGCTACATGGTCATCGCAGTGATATCTCCTTTTACTTGTGATATTCCTGCCCATATCAATAGTTTGTTTGAATCAAAGGGTTTTCACTACCTTTGTTTGGTGAAGTAAGGTTGGTAATATCTGGAGGGTTAAGCAAAAAAATTGTTCATCCTCATTTTTCGAGAGTTGTACAGTAACCCGTCCTCTTGCCTGGTGCTACTGTCTGTATAACACTGCGAAATGATGTATGGGGGAATCATGGGTCACGCGAATGCATCTAGAAATATGTGTTAAAACCGTTGAGCGTCAACGCATGATGTGTCTGCTGGAACTGCCTAAAATACTTAGAAGGCGAAAGCAGTGTAAATATTTGCTCGCATCTCATTCGCACCATAACAGAAAGTCAAAACTCATGTAACTAGGTAGTGAACTCTCAAAAATTGTAATTCGATGAGGGCAATTTGAAGAAGTTGATGACATGAAAAATTACAATTTTTTCTTCCAAAAAAGTGTTGCTATGATTAGTTGAAATGCGAGTAGCTCGTTTTATTGCAACCGCATCTACTCATATCTGCAAATTTTCATGCTTATGGGGATCTCATTAGCTTTTTTAGGATCTGGAATGGTGCCAGTCGTTAGAGCCTATTGGAGGATCAACCCGGCCACTTTGTGTGCTTTACGACTCCTTAGTGCGCCCTGGTGCAGACCTTGGGGCGAAGATATCCTCTCGTCTGGCTTGGCAGTCAGATCCTACCAAGAGCATATCGCACCTTGTTTTGGGAGAGACTGCAATTGGTGGAAGCTGGAACACATATGATCCCGAAGTGAGTTCACGCAAGACCACTGAAATATTTCATTTGAAAATGTGTCACGGTAAAGTAGATGCAGTTCCTTTTTTTTCGCAATATATCAATATATTCCACTCAATAAATTTTAGATGTTGGCAGTTTCTTACGCATCATGGTTGGACCTACCAGGCTTCTCCATCTCAGACTGGCTTCAGGGAACCCCATTAATCCCACGGTGATTTATGATAATTTTTCCTCTAAAATTTTGCTAGATTGTTAAATCTAAAAAGCTGTCTTAAGATTGGCTCGAGCAAGTTTATATTCTCCTATTCTTTATTTATTCCAGACTACCATCTGTTGCAATCGCCCAGTACATGCAGTGCTATGCTGAAGAGTTGGGTCTTTCGAAAAGTATCATTCCTCATACTAGAGTAAATTCCGTTCGAGTAAGTGAAAATTTTATTCTCAATTATCTTTTCATATTGTTTGTCCGAATCTGCAAACTGGTTTACACAGTCGAACAAAAAGTCTCTTTGAGCGAGCATATTGCGCGAAAGTTGCATGGGCAGTTGCCTAGATAAGCTATCAGAGACGCGGCAAATATGTACTTTGAGCTTTTGCTGACAGCGTACAAAATGAGTCGCATGCTATCAGATGGCGGCAAAACGCTTATTCCATCGTTTCTAGTTTTTTTTAGTGCCTATAAATATGTCCAGATCATATCGTGATCAACCACATATGATTGCCTTCGTAAATACGAGTTTGAAGATCAAATTTTTTTTTGTAGAAAACTGGAGAGGTTTGGACAGTTTCTGGAGTGCGAGCAGATGGGTCCTGCTTTAGCTACACCGCCAGGCATGTCGTACTGGCTTGTGGAAAGATGAAACAGAAGCAACTTGAGGTTCTTTTGTTTCTTTCATCCAAATATGAGGGTGTAAAAATGGTTTTTTTAGCTGACCATGCGAAACCCTACTTTGCCAGTTGTTTATGATGCCTTGGCGCTCAAGTCCCACATGGTAAACGATCCTACGTTAGGCACAAGGTCTTTATTTCACTTATTTCCTCGCTGCAAATTCTTATTTTTCTCGCTGCCAATTCTTCCTTCCATAGTTAATCTTACAGTGGAAGCAATGCACGAGTAGTAGTTATCGGAGACGGAATCTCTTCTGCCGACGCTGTTCGCGCATGTTTAGAACGCGATGTTCCTGTGCTCCATGTGATGCGAAGGACCGAGAGACAGCTCCGAAGTATGTTGCAGTCCTTTCATTGAAAGTCGTATTTTGAGCGACGCTCATGAGTTCGATTGTTTTACAGACACGATTTTCTCTCGTCTTTCTCCCACCCAATACGCCGAGTACACTTCTGTGTATCGCTTGATGATTGGGAAGGATGAAAATCCCCTTTATGAAGGAATTTTTGCGTCAACGGTCACAGATGTGGACGAAAAATCTGTGCTCACCATACAGACTGCCAAAGGCATTCGCTATGTAGGTTTCTGTTCTTAGCTATGTTTATTGGTACTATGAGGTTCAAAGCAGTTTTCTTGTTTCAGGAGAAATCTTCAATGCTTGTGGTGTGCATTGGACGAATGAGCGATTTGGAAGGAATTTTGTCGGAAAAGTACACTTTTTCCGGCTATCAATCAGAACAAGATCCAACGCTCTATGCAATTGGTTCTCTAGCTGGCGACCATTTTGTTCGCTATCTTGTTGGAGGAAGTCTGGAAGTAGCGCGATCTATTCAAGCTTTTTACAAAGATAGAAATAATAATGATGCTTGAGTGATTGCATGTTCCTCTCATCGTTAACCTGATGCTTATGTTCTTACGCCGATTCTAACAATACGTAACTGTCGGTTATGTTTGGCAGGAACTGATTTCTGCAGAACATGCAGCCTTCATCTATGCATCTCTAAAATTGTTGTGATCTGCTCTGCCCTTTTGACTTGCTAAGTTATGTTTATGTGCCATTTTATGGATTGTAAAACGATCTCGAAAATTCGCTATTTTCGGTTCACTTTGTAATTTCATGTTAACCTCTATATAATCAAAGAGTGATGGTGATCCTGTGATCTGCTCCTAATCAAGCTACGCGTAGAGCTTTAATTACGTGTTTGTAGTTTCTGATATATTTGTACGAGTACGTGAATATTTGTGTTCTACACTGGGAACAGTTCACGAAATAAATATGCTTTTTCGATCTTACGAGTACATTAAAACGGAAACCCATGGTTAAGAAAGGGCGCAGTGTAGTTGACAAGATCTTGGGTAGTTTACGAATGTAACACGTTCTACGTCACCAACACATGTTATGCAAATTTGTGCACAAGACAGGTTATACAGGGTTCCCAAAAGTTTGCAGCCCTCTGGCATTTTGCTATGTTTTACTCTGTTTCGCACAGAACTAATCCAAATTTCCATGTGGGCAAAGCGCTGCTGACTATGTCAAGATTTCTTGCAGTCCAATACAAACAGAAGCGGGCTTTGGAATGGCGAGCACGGCAATTTCGAAGTTAGTCAAAACTTGCAGCCACTTTATGTCAAATTTTTCTGGAGAATTTTTTATTTTTCAGCATTTGGGCTACAGATGCACCCCTAAGCCTTGATATATGTAATGCAACCAGCATTCATCAAACTCCCAAAAGGGACTTTAGGGATCAAATTCTCTTGAGTGCCAAATAATCGCAAAATATGGTAACTTATAAGGTTGTCAAGACAGAAAAAGCACTACTTGGCATGTTTCAAAATCTACCATTATACGGGTGTATGTCAAGAGGCGCGATTCTTATTGCCAGATGGCCAGCATATAGCACAAATTTAATGTTTTATGAAGTATTAGAGAATCGCAGGGAATTGTTCGATGTTATCATCTGAAATCGATCCAAAATAAAATTGTTGGAGCTCAAAAACTCATGAAAATGCAGTTTATAACAATTTTGTAATTACTTCGGTTACTTTTCAAAGTCATCAAACTTATTAAGTGGTTGTATCAAACGGCTAGTGAGCCTATGGACTTTATCTGGCACTTTTTGAACGCTCCCATAGCACGAAACTGGAGTTTTAATTTGGTGACAGCCAGAAAAATCGCGCCTCATAACCGTCTCCCCCATTATTCTAGCTCAGATTCGGCGCACCTTGTTAAAAAATGGCCTCAGCGGTCTCAACGTTAATGAAAACACTGCTTTTGCAAAGAAGAGCACTGGCGAAGCTAGCAGAGCTCTATTGGAAACATGATGGCGCTACAGCTACGGAAAAGTCTGCACAATCTTCCAACTGATCATCTCCTTTGGCAAAGCAAACATTTTATAAGCGTGATGATCGCAAAATCTCTGGCAATAGCGCCATCTTGTTTCTGGTGGAGCTCTGCAAGCTTCGGACCAGTGCTTATCTTTGCAGCATGGTTTCAACAAGTTCAAATCTCTCTAGACCGCTGAGCCCAATTTTTGAGCTGGAAGGTGCGCCGAATCTGATTCAAGGTGATGGAAGATTTAGAGGCATGCAAGTAATATTTTTCTGTCACATTCGCAAGCCGACATTAAACGTCCAGATGGTACAACCTTCCCATAGGAGCACGGATCAACTGATTATCTCTTGATAATCGCTATAAAAAATGGTGGATTTTTGAACGGTTGACAAACGCCATAGAACATCAAGAATGGAGAAAAAAGAGCCTAAATTTAATCTCAGCTGCTCTAGAAGATGTTTTACATGGTTGTTATGAGGTTGATGCAAAAGTTCCTGCATAATTGAAACAAGTTTCAATAACTTTCAAAGCCTACACCTGAACTTATAATGTTATAATATAATGTTGTTATAATAACATATAACATTATAACTTATAATGTTATAATGTTGTTTCAAAAATAGTGAAAGGTGTGCGCTCAATGATAGATTTTGAAACCTAACTTCCCATGAGGCAGCACCGACTCAGATAATCGCCGGGGGCAGGCGGTCCGCAAACTCGCGCTTTTCTGCAGGCGGTCAGCAGGATTTCGGGGCGTGGCCAAGTCTTCAGCGGGCGGTATTTGCGTTTTCTGCAAGCGGGCATCAATACAAAATTTTCTGCAAGCGCTCGTCAAACAATCTCTTTCAGCGAGCGCTGGCCAAACTTCCAGCAGGCGCTCAGACTCTTTTTACGCAGTTTCGGGCGTACGCCGAGAAAAGATGAGACTCAATGTGGCAGAGGTGCCATCGATGGTTTTATTACCCAAGTTTGGGGTACTTTCTTTCAGCGGAAAGTACCTGACGGCTGTGCGGTCCTTCAAAAAGGACCGTGCGGCTCTCAATAATTTTGCATGTTCTCGCGGAAAATCCGCGAGAATGCGGCCACTGCGCCGCAACTAATCTGTAAGGAAACCGCAATTGTTCTTCAAGCGTTCGTCCAAAATTTCGCTAAAATTCTTCCAAATTTCTGCAAGCGGACCACAAAAAATCAGCGAACTATTTTTCCGGTGCCCGCTTGCTCAAAATTCGCATGGCCGCTGGCCCCCGGCGATTATCTGAGGGGTGCTTCCAAAGATAGGTCTCTGGATTTACGATTGCGGGTTTGGCGCCAGAATTGCGGATGGCCTCTAGCAGCACTGAAAACCTGTAAAATCTCTTGCATAGCAGTAGTACATGTCCTACTGCGGCAAAAATTTTGAGACTTTCTTTGGACGTTCTGTGACTAGCTTGTGGAAAGTTACGCTTCAAATCTATCACAGAGCGTATACCTTCTAATAGTCTGAATACAACGGTATATTTGGATCTAAGCTTTGAAAATTGATTGAATTTTGCTTAAAATACGCGAGAATTTTTGGATCAACCTAATGTCTTCAGAAAACTCCTAATAAGGCTTTTTTTGCGATGTGTAAATATGATGGGACTATCTAACCCTCTTGGACCTGACTTTCTCCTTGTTGGAGAGAGGTTTATCTATCTATTGTTTGTGAAGAAAACATGTGACAACATAATAACATTTGGAATTTTTTCCGATTTTTTCAGAACCTTCGAATTTAAATTTTTGCATCACACGTGAAACCGTCAAAAGAAATGAAATTTTTGAGTTTTTAAGAGTTCACAAATCTATCAAATCGGAAATGTCTGTCTCCTTATGAAATTGAGGATGGAATGCTTAATGAAAAATGATATGGAAGGCCATGTAAAAGAGCAAAGGTCGAATGCCACACTTATGGCCGATGACAGCCTTTTTAACCTTGCGGCTTGTCGCTTTATTTATTTATTTATTTATTTATTTAATATGCTCTAGGCGTTCCATAACAAAGAAGGTTAGTAGAGCATAAATCACAACTTGAACAAACATAACATCACGTCGTCCCAAGTCAGTCTAATCAATTAACTAATGACATTTTTACTTACAAGGCATGGACAACAGGTCGCAAAAGCTGGAACCCAATTCTATGTTCGTTTTTCCTTATCTTTGAACGACTCGCTAGTGAATCCAAATTTGTGAAGTATTTGTTGCTATCCGTATAATGAGGACGGCTTAGAATGCTTATTCTGTACCTTTCTTTCACACATTATTCATAATTTGTTAGCACCATTTATATTATACTAGCTTGCTTACTCGGCTCCGCTCGGGCCTGTCAAAACACTGTAATAAAGGTCCCATCCCTATCCCTGCACAGTCTTTCCCTGTGCCCACTTCTACACTTCATTTCCCGTTCCCTGTGTTGTTTTCGAAATCAGCATGCCCACTTACCCCCCCCCCCCTCCCTGTGCCAACTCCAAGCCCTGTAGCTCAAAGTTTGCAAAAAATTGATAAAATCGATAAAGGTAATAGACGATTTTGAAAACTAATATTGTATTCGTAATCAGCATGCTCGATTACCCCTGTGCCAACTCCCAGCCCCGTAGCTCAAACTTTGCAAAAAATCGATAAAATCGATAATAGTAATCGATAATCCTGAAAACTAATATTGTATTCGGAATCCCCATGCTCGATTACCCCCTGTGCAAACTTCCAGCCCCGTAGGTGAACTCAGCAAAAAAAATCGATAAAAATCGACAAAATCGATATCGACCGATGACGAAAAGTAGCCTATGACACGCTCCCTGCCCTGAAGTGTATGTGTGCCAAGTTTGGTCCAGATCGGTTCAGAAATAAAAATTTCTATTCCGCACAGACAGACTGAAGTAGATATTAACAAGTTCGCAGGTTCAACTGGTGCAGCTAACTTCTTCCTATAGTCGTTAAGCAGATGAAGAAAACAGCTTTGAAGTCAGAGACCAAAGACGCTTCTGGTCATGTAAAAGATCGCTTTCCAATTCGACAGCGTGATCTGATGTCTTTCTCTTGTGGGAATGACATTCAACAGAGGGTGCAGAAGTTTTCCCATGACTCGAGGTGTAAACAGATGCATGGTCAACGTTTTATCTCATAATGGATCTCATGTCAATTTCCGTTTCTCATCAGGATGGAGGGGTAAGTCTGCCCTTGCTAGTGGGAGCGAATATTTCTTTATAAGATTCTTGTAAATGCGTCACAAACAACACAAAACGGCACTTATTTACTCGGAACCATTCCCGTTTATAAAATGCACTCTGACTCCGAAGTCTAGGAATATGCAAATTCCCCAATTTCAATGTACCGGTTTGTTATTACAGTGTAAGTTAGAAGAAGAAATCATGTTTTTTTTTGTTACTGCTCAAAGTAAAAAAAAACATTGATGTCATATGCGCTAACAGAAGCAGGTAATGACAAACAGTTAAATTGTATCTTTTTATTTCCGGTTGCATGCTAAATGGTCCAACAGCTTCTAAATTCACTTTTGCTTTGGATTTCATGACCAAGATAAAACAATCGTACTTATTGGATGTCTATACGAAGAAATGTAGGAGTTGAATTGCAATCATCAAATTTGTCGCGGATTGGGCGCCCAGCTCCCAACGTCAGTAGTAACGTGGCTCTCCTGCATCGGCGGTAGGAGCCGGGGGTCCCATCCGGGATCGAGTATAGCGTATATTGTGGTGGCATTACCTGTGAAAACGCGAATTCCGCCTGCCACACAACATGCCATGCACACACAGAGGCCCTTGCCACCAGCCTACTTAGCAGTTAATTGACATCTGCGACTCGAATCGTACCCCCGACTATCGACAGTCGGGGCATGTACATATAACCATGGCACTACCCGAGGTCGTGCCAGCCTTCTGCCAGATCTTTCCCACTAGGCATGATTGTGAAATACAC